ACATGCTGGAGATCACATGCCAGAACTTTGTAAGGCCAAATATTTATTCATTGATAATACTGTTTTTAAACAACCTAAAAGATGATTATCCAAATTAACCTCACCAGATGGAATACACAGGGATGAAATTGACTATATTTGTGAAAAAGGACAGTGGAAAGCTCCATATCATCAACCAAAACAAGGCCAGGGGTTGACTGCACAACAGACCATCAATTGCTCCTAAGCAAGATCAGGCTGAATTTGAAGGAAATTAAAACAAGACCAGCAGAGTCAAAATATTGCCTTGAACATGTCCAACTGAATTTAGAGACCATATCAGAACATATCTGAAGTATTAGACACAAATGATACAGGAAGAAAGCAAAAGGCCATTTAAAAGACAAGAAAGAAAGAAAACACCAAAATGGATGTCCGAAGAGACTCTGAAACTTGCTCTACAGATGCTAAAATGAATGGAAGAAACGAGGAAGTCAAAGAACTGAACAGAAAATTTCAGAAAGCTCCTAGACAAGACAAAGTCAAGTATTATAATAAAATGTGAAAGACCTGGAGTTAGAAAACCAAAATACGTTGTTAAGCATTTCTCAGGCTGAAAGAACTAAGACAAAATTTAAGACTCAACTTGTAATATTGAAGGATTGTATGGGCAAAATATTGAATGATGCAAAAAGCATCAAAGGAAGATGCAAGGTATATACACAGTCACTACACCAAGAAGAAATGGTCGATGTTCAAACATTTCAAGAGGTGGCTTATGATCAAGAATTGATGGTACTGAAGGAAAATGTCCAAAATGCACTAAGGTATTGGTAAAACACAATGCTCTGGGAAATGAGGGAATACAAATTGAAGTCTTCCAACAAACTGATGCAGCACTGGAGACACACACCCATCTATGCCAAGAAATTTGGATGACTGCTACCTGGCCAACCCATTAGAAAAAGTCCATATTTGAGCCAATTCCAAAGAGAGGTGACTCAATGGAATATGGAAATCATAGAACAATATCATTAATATCAATACAAGTAAAATTTTGCTGAAGATAATTAAAAAATGGCTGCAACAATACATCAACAGTGAACTGCCAGTAACTCAAGCTCGATTCAAAAGAGGATATGGAACTAGCGATACTTTTGTAGATGTCAGGTAGATATTGCCTGAAAGCAGAGAATACCAGAAAGATGTTTACCTTTCTAGTTTATCTGTGCTTTATTAATTATGTAGCCTTTTAGCTACATGGATCATGACAAGCTTTGGGTAACATCATGAAAAATGGGTATTGCAGAACACTTGATTGTGCTCATTAGAAACCTGTACATAGACCAAGAGGCAGTCATTCAAACAGAACAGGGGGATACTAAATGGCTTAAAATCAGGAAGTAAAATAACATACAAGGTTGTGGAAGGGTTGTATTCTTTTACCATACTTATTCAATTTATATTTTGAGCAAATAATCTTAGAATGGATTATAAGAAGAACATGACACCAGGATTGGAGGAAGACTCACTAACAACATGTGATATGCAGATGAAACAACCTTGTTTGCTGAAAGTGAAGAGGGCTGAAAATACTTACCGATAAAGATACAAGACAGCCTTCACTATGGATTACACCTCAATGTAAAGAAAAAGAAAATCCTCACAGCTCGACCAATAAATACATCATGTAAATGGGAAAATAAAAAAATAGATGTTGTCAAGGACTTCATTTTGCTTGGATCTACTATCAACACTCATGGAAGCAGCAGTCAAGAAACCAAATGATGTATTGCACTAGGCAAGGCTGCTGCATAAGAGCTCTTTAAAGTGTTCAAGAGCAAAGACATCAGTTTGAGGACTAAGGTGAACCTGATCCAAGGTATTTTCCATGCACGTGAAAACAGAACAATGAATAATGAAGGCCATAGAAAGATGGATGCACTTAAGTTATGGTGTAGGAGAAGAATATTGAAAGTACCATGGACTGCCAGAAGAACAAAAAAATCTGTGTTGCAAGAAGTACAGCCAGGTGACGCATGGAGGGGCTTGTAATCATTACAATGATACAAAATAAAACAGGAAAAGTACAAAACTGATCTTCTCCCACGTAAACTATAACTCAATACACAATAAAATCTTTTTAAAAAAGAAGTACAGCCAGAATGTTCCTTAGAAGCAAGATGGTGAGACTTCATCTCTCATACTTTGGATATATTGTTTTGTTGTTGTTAGGTGCCATCGAGTCGGTACTGACTCATAGCGACCTTATGCACAGCAGAACGAAACACTGCCCTGTCCTGGGCCAACCTCACTATCATTGCCACACGTGAGCCCAATGATGCTGCCACTATTTTTGTTGTTGTTAAGTGCCGTCGAGTCTGTTCTGACCCATAGCAACCCTGTAGAGGGTTTCTGAGGAGCAGCTGGTGAGCTTGAACTGCCAACCTTGCAGTTAAATGGCTTTGCAGTCTGGCGCATTAACCCACAGCACCACAGGGCCTGATTCCTGGAAAAGGACATTACACTTGGTAAAGCAGAGGGTCAATGAAAAAGAGCAAGACCCCCTACAAGATGGAATATCACTGTTGGCAGCAGCAATGGATTTAAGAATAATAATTGTGAAGGTGGCACAGGACTGGGCAGTGTTTTGTTCTGTTGTGCATGGGATCACTATGGGTCAGAACCTACTTGTGGGCACCTAACAACAACAACAACAGTATTACATAAAACAAAATGACACAAAAAGAGAAAATATAAAAGTATGAAAATTTGTATGTGGCAAACACATGTAAAACATAAGTCCTGTTCATGGTATTGTTAAGAGATAATTCATAGATTTAAGACAAAAGGCACTTTGGAAACTAAGATGTTATTTTATGCTATAAGCAGGCATAAGACCATGAAGTGATACTTTACCATCCTCTTTCATGTAGTAAAAGCATTTCTGATGAAATGCTTCATCAGAAGAACAGTTTCATGGTTAGGGCATCTTGGTTGCAGATCTCAGCGCTGCCACTATGTGAACCTCTTTAGCATATTTAGTTTTATAAAATGGTATATCCATGTTTACACTTATTTATGAAATAAGTTAATGCAGGGGTTAAAGAAGACAACACAGACAAAATGCAATTTTATGTAAATAATGCACACAGTATATGTTTTTAGCAAACCTCGAAACCCCCTTGCTCATGTTTCCTGTATGTGCTATGTGAATTGATGGTGCACGCATCATTTTTATGAGCATGTTACATACCAAAAACAGGGTAGTACATACTAAGTACTCATCTATTACTGCTGCTGCATTAAAATCAATAAAGAAAAAATGGAAGCAAAGAAACTGCAACAGTTCAATGACTTTTTAATTTACTTTCGTCCATATTTAAAAGATCACATAGGTTAAAACAAAAAGCAGTTTTTACAATCATAATTACCTAAGAACCTTAAAAAATGTATGTGATATAAGGATCCCGTTCTTTATCTAATGAGTTTAGACAAAGGGCATGGAAACATCAGTTTCTTTACTGATGTTCTTACTGAAGATTCAATGCTGAAGAGAGCTATACAGACAAACTTGCAAAAGCCAGAACCTGTGTAAGGTAAAAACCTCAGAGAAGAAGAATGCATATATTTTCCCCTAATAAAGAGTGGAGTCCTGGTGTGGCTCTATAGGATAAGCACTGCATTACTAATCACAAGGTTGGTGGTTCAAACCAAGCAGTCTTTCCTTAGAAGCCCTATAGAGGGTCATTACGGGTTGGCACTGACTCGACAGCACCTCGCAACAACAACAGTGAGGAGCTCTGGTAGTGGAATGGGTTACATGTGGGGCTGCTTAGCCACAAGGTCAGCAGTTCAATTCCACCAGGCACTCCACCAAAGTAATATAAGGCTTTCTGCTCCCATAAAGATTGACAGCCTCAGAAGCCCTACATAGGGTCACTATGAGTCGGAACCAACTTCATAGCACACCACCACCACCAGTACAGAGTGAAAGAAAAGTGATAAAATTGTGCACAAAGACAGAAAACTTGTGGGATCTGTGAAAACAGGTAGTCCTGGCAAGTTCTGACTCTCATAGATTTCACCGTTTATCATTAATGGAGCTCATTGGTTGTTGCTGTTGGGTGTGCCGTGAAGTCGGTTCCGACCCATAGTGATCCTGTACAGGGTTTCCGAGGCTGTAAATCTTTACGGGAGCAGAAAGCCCCATCTTTCTCCCGAGGAGCGGCTGGTAGTTTCCAACCACTGACCTTAAGGTTCGCAGCCCGATTCGTAACCACTACGCTACTAGAGCTCCTTTAGGCAATACTAATTGAACTTTTCAAATAATGACTATATCATATTTTCTAGAATTCATAGAATATTCACAATTTTTTTTTTCATATTTAAGAACAAATGAAAAAAAAAAAAAAAACCCAACAACCAGTAACAACCTTGTCACTTGGAAGGGAAATAATATAACGTTCATTTAAAGAATTTCTATTCTTGTTTGAGACTTGACCGCTTTATTTTGAGTTTTGATCTTTTGACCTTAATTCTTTTTATTTGCTAATTTGTCTACCACGGGTCAGGCACTGTGCTGGTTGTAGTTACAAAAATGTGTGAGATTTGGGTATTTGCCCTCAAAGAACCTGTTCAACAGAGTCAGTCCCTTAGATTTCTTCATTTCCCTATTCTGTCATATCAACCAAACAAATCATTACATTCCAGACAATCATGGCGTAGTACCAAGTGTGGACAGTGTTACACGGTCCAACAGAGGTCAGCAGTACAAAGGTGATGCCAAGAATATTCTGTGGAAAACTTTGTTCCTGTGTCCAGAGGTATTGGCACCATATTCTTACTCTGACCTCAAAACTCAGATGAGTCATTGCTTTTGAAATTTGTCAAGAAAGTGTTCAAACCATTTCCTGCCTCATCCTTCGTCCTCAAGAACTTAAAATGTGGATGCTGTGTGCCATTTGACAGTGTGGGGACCACTTACGTTCACTCTTTGGTGTAGTTCAGCCCTGGTTTCCTCATCATCCCACAGATCATCAGGAAGAGAGTTGAAGTCAGCTTGCCAATGAGCTACAAAATCTTGCTTGTGATCTGGACGCATTAGAAACTGCTCGAAGGATGTTCTGTAAGGCATTAAGAAAATATGAGTTTAAAAAAAATAAGAGAGAAGATGGGTTTTACACATCATGCCTGTAAAATGTAAACTTCTAACTTTGGTAACTTTACCTACCTAACTTCATATAAGTAGTTAATCACAGTATGCTTGTCTTCTCTCAGGTTCCTCAGTACTGCTTTGATGGTTTTAATATAGGAACTTTCTATGAGTTCCCAGTAAGGTACTAAAAATGAAGGTATTTCCTGTTAAATGACAAAGCATAGAAATCATTATTTCAAAGTGAAAATTCTTGTGAATAATTTTAGTCAGAAGGATAGTACGTAGCAAGAAGATTGAGATGCAATGGCAATCACTTGAAGCTTTCTCAGTGAAACTTCTTAGCACTCTTTCCTCTGCTCTCCCCTGTTAATTACTGTTCCAAGAAATTCTTCATGTCTCATCTACGACACCATTTCTTCCAGAAGTTCTTTTCTAACCCTACAAATCATACAGATTCTTTTTCATTTAAAACTGAGGCTACAGAGACTAAAAAATTTACCAGCGTCACACAGTTAGAGATTGTTGTAAACTGGGAGGTGAATACAGGCTCATTGGTCCCCAGCCTATATTTTTATACAATTCACTCTCTTTCCTGAATTAATTTTTAAAAACAGTGTCTTGCATGTTATTTCATTTCTGAAAAACAGTCTACAGCTTTCCACTACCTAGCAAGTTAAGACCAAATTTTTCAGCACTGTTTATAAGGTGTTTCTTGATCTGACCCCTACCTCTCTCCTCATGGTCTGACCCCAAACTCCCTGCTTCTGAACACATGGAGCTAATCTCTCTGACTGGAATTCCTACCCGCGACATTCCCTGCTCAATACATACAGACTTCAACAGATAACTTTGCAGTGAAGCCGTCTCCTGTCTTTCTTTGTTAATGTTCCAAACTAAGTTAATAATTTCCTCTTTTAAGTGGTAACATTTTAAGCACCTATTAAAGTATTTTCAATAACCTCCTATGCATGTGAAAGCTGGACAGTGAATAAGGAAGACCATAAAATAATTGATGCTTTTGAGTTATGGTGTTGGAGGAGAATAGGAAGTGCCATGGGCTACCAAAAGAACCAATAGATCCGTTTTGGAAGAAGTGCA